CACATTGTCAATTATCTCATTAGGATCTTGTGTACTATTATAGTTTATTTACAGCAGAGTAACTATTCGGTACTTACACATGTGTGACTTATCTATTTCACTTAGGAGTATATACTCAAAATGTATCCATTTTCCTATGAATGACTCTAATTTCTCATTCTTTATGGCTGAGTAGTATTCCATTTTATAGAAAAACCAGATCTTCTTCATCCAGTTTCCAAAGGATGCGCAAATGGGCTGTTTGAAAAGCATTTCAGCCTGCAGTTCCCAGAGTTACTAGTGAAGGTGACTACAGACAAGATGATGTCTTTTCTGTGCCAGGTGCAGCCAGAGGAAACCTACATTTCCTCTACTCAAACTCTCAGGATTACCCTAGAGCGATTTGTCTCTTATAAAGGAATGAAAACAGGTGGGTGAGCAGTTTAATGTGTACAATAGAGTAGTTCTCTAAATAAATAAATAAATAAATAAATAAATAAATAAACTATTTATTTCCTTATATAGATGTGCAGCTTATGGAGAGCTTATTCAAATCTGCGTGCAAACACCAGGTTCTCAGTATGAATGTGGTGAGCACGAACACACAGACACAACAGACAGACTTGTGGATACAAGCAGGCTCTCGTTAACTGATTAAGTTTAAATTAAAACTAAGCTCGGCCAGGGATTTAGCTCAGTGGTTCTCCTGCCTGCCCCTCAAGTGCAATGTCCTGAGTTTGATCCCTGAAACAACAACAAAAAAAAGCAAAGTCATCATTTCATTTCCAAACACTTGAACAGGAAATAAAAATGTAAATGTGAAATCAAAATTTTGAATTGACTATCACAGTATTCAAGTATGCTACTCAAAATGACAAAATAGACTTACTCTAATCCAATATTTATAATCTTGCAATTGTATTATAAGAATATAATGTAACAGAAGTGTAAGGTAACTCATGAATAGTTCATTATAACATTTTATACAATATCAAATATATTGAAGTTCAGAACCACAATAATACACAAATGGATAAAGAAGGATCCTGTGAAATCATGAGTAGACATAAATAATGAAAACTGGGTGAAAAGAAGGAAAATAGGATAAGTTTTGAAGTAAACAAGCAATACACAAAAATGGACATGTATCATGTGATATAAATGTATAATTTGGACAAAGTTAAATCAAATAAGAAAACAGATGCAAGTAAATATATGATTGGAAATTAATTTATGAGAAGAAAATAGGAATAGAGGAACTCTTCAGTAAATTGTGTTTGGATAAAAAATTCAAAATCAATTCTAGGTAAATAAAAGTCTTAAATGTGAAAGGTAAAACTATTAGACTTTAAGAAGATACCTGGAGTAAGCTTTTTCTGGTCTCAGGACAAAGAATATTGCCATTAAAAATATACCAAAAAAAGCATTTACCATAATAGAAAAGAAATAGACCAGACATCATAAAAATAAGAACCTTCTCTTTGTCAAAAAAATATCCAAACAAGAGGAAAAATTCAATCCACAAATGTGAGGAATGCATAACACTGGCCAAAGGTTTAAATGTAAACTATACAAAGGATTGAAAAGTGACCAAAAATCCTAAACTCATACTTTATAAATTAAGAGCTATAAATAACTGTGAAATGTGATAAGATTGTAAAACTCATGGATAAAAAGGCTATTTTTAGGTTAAAACACTCTGAATGCTTCATGCCAGGGCTGCTATGTGTTTAACTCCAGAGAGAACCATTCATGTGCAAATGACACAAGCAGCTCCTCCTGAAGGTGAGCAATGCTTGGTCTTCTCTCTCCACCACCATGTCTGCAGATATTCACCAGTTAGCAACAGCAAGTCTCTACCAGGAGATCAAATAATGTGAATGTCAGTGACTGCTTACCTAAATATAGATTCAATCAAGTCCTTTGGACAACAGTTGGTCATTTCCTACTATGATTATTGGAAGACTTGAAGAGGTGTTGGAAAGAGGGCTAACTAGCAATGAGCACAGAAATGAGCAGTCACCAAGCAGTATTCAAATTAAAAATGTGCAAAGGTATCAATCAGCAAGTTTTTCCAGACGATTCTGGAAAGTGGCCACAAAAACAAGGCAAGCAGATCCATAAAGTAAAATAATATGATGATGATAAAAGACTGTGCCATGGATAAAGTTAAAGCTCAGGAGAGACTGGCCACAAAAACAAGGCAAGCAGATCCATAAAGTAAAATAATAATGATGATGATAAAAGACTGTGCCATGGATAAAGTTAAAGCTCAGGAGAGCTAAAAAATTGAAGGTGTAGGGAGAAAGTAATTTGAAATAAAATCCATGGTATCCATGCAAATACAGAGGCTAGGACATGAGTCAGCAAACTACCACCTGCCAATCAAATTCAGCCCACTCTGTTCTTCTAAATAAAGTTTTATTGGAACATAGCCACTTCCCTCCAGTTGTGCATAATCTATGGTTGCTTTTCCATTACAATAAAAGCAGATGCCACATGAAGCACCAATCCTAGCATGTTTTCTATTTCATTTCTACAGAAAATGTTCACCAATATTTAGCCTAAGATATTAGGGAAGGCAGACAATGAGATGTCCTTGGATAAATTTTAAAAATATATGAGAAATGATGAAATATTGTTGATCACTCACTTAGAGAGGAGTTACAGAACTAATATATGCTAAACTGGACTACTTGTACAGAGGGTGGTAATACGGGTGGATTGCCAAGCTGATATCAAGATGGGACTAAATATAGCAGACTTTCTGCTATCTGGTAAGCACAGTGAAATAGTTGGAATAAGGACAAGAACCAAAGATTCTTGTGAGTTGGCAAACTCCTGTATCATATGGACATAAATATGCTTGATTCCATTAATATTTTTTGTACCAGTGATTGAACTGGGTAACCCACACTTGCAAGGTAGGTAGGGAAACCACTGAGCTAAAACCCCCATCCCTAAAAATATTTTTTAAATGATGAGAGGATGACTTTGCTATGCTCTCTGGGTAATTCTGTAGCCTTTTTGATAGCCCACCACAGGTGGATCTATTCACAGAGCAGATGAACTATTTAGGATAAGACTAAGCTATTATAAAATGATCTTTAAAAATCCAGTGGCATAGGC